GTACATGGTCTAAGACTACTCTATGAATTATAAATCAACGCACTTGTTTTATTTAAAGTCTCGTTGTTTAATACTTTTATTTGGTAACCATGAATTTCGACCTTTAAAAATATATTTTTTTTCAGTCAAGTCCCTCTTCCACCCACTTTACTTGTACTTATAATGATAGATATACTTTATCAATCTATGATAAATCGTGTTTCGATTTCAACTCTTCACATGTTCACTGTGTAGCATCACCACCGGATATAGGTACCTCCGAAGCGGTGGAAAATCAAATGTGAAATCAGGTAAGGTCATTTTTTTTTATTTTCATTATATTCTACGTTTTGCTGACACGTAAAGTTTTGTGATAGTGATTCCTTATAATGTAGCTACTATTTAGGACGGATTATGATCCAAAATTTACTGTCTCTCTCTAAAAATCGTCAGAATCGGATAGGGTGGTACCTGTTCAACAAAGCATGTGATGAGTTCAAACTTGATAAAAACACATTTATCCTTCAACTATATTCATTTGACGTTTTCGTAGAACAAAGGTATACTTAGTATCACATTTAAGCTTGAACACTGGTTTGAACACTACTGTATTTTGAAATAAACTTTTTTTTACATAGATAAAAAAAATCATGTCAATAAAGCGGATAAACTGTACAGCGAATAGCGGCGAATTGTTGTTTACTGTAATGGGATTAGAATAGGTACTTGTTACTATCATTGTCGCTTTGCTTTGGGAACCTATATCTGCTAGTCTATATGATGTTTGTCGTGGATGCTCATTCCGAAATATATAAAGAATGATCGAGTTACCTCCCGTATGCCTACCATATGCCTGGATTATGACCAGCAATACAATAGTATATATTGGATGTTACTACACATGATCGCGTTTTCAGGGATTTAATCCATTCGCTAATATTTTCAGCCACAGAGTAATAATGTAAAAGAAAACAAAAATAAACAATAACAATTTATATTAATTTTAGTACAAAATATAGAATCGAGGACGACTCGGGGTCAAATATACATGAGACGCAATGTTACTAGAATACTGACAAACAACGTCTTTAAAGGCATACGATACAGTTTGCATCCCACGGTGATGTTTTTACGAAAACTTGCATACAAGCCATTTTTCACCTCGTCAATTAAAAAATGTAATAAAAAGATAAATAAAAAAAATATTAATACATATGGATAAGTTCAACTTGTCGTAATCCCGTCATCTAGCAGTTGCTCTGTTTGAAATCCATCACATAGTTTTTTCTTGCCTTGAGCAACACGACGGTACCACCACTGTCCAGTGGAGCAGGAACTGCTTACTCTTCAGTTCATCTCCGGTTTTCAGTGAGGTTTTTATTGCTCAATATTAACGTTTCTGTGTAGTATTTTGTTGACTTTACATCGTTTATCTTTTTATATATGACCTTTTTCTCCGACTTATGCATGGTTTCGACAGTCTCTTTGGTACCCCTCCCCTTTTCGCTCATGTCCATTTTTTTTCGACGTTTAAGGTCTTGGATTAGTTGTTTTGTAACTAACTGTGGTTCTGAATATGAATAAAAACACAAGAACCCAACGCAACCCATGAAAAAGGTACAGCAGACAGGAACTGAACAACTTTTATTTAAAGGAAACGGAAAACTCGACTCCTAATACTTCAACAGATTTACAACGCAAAAATTATTTCTTTAACGTAGATTATTGGATTCTACTCAGTTCAAGAATAAAATCGGTGGGTTTCTTTCCTTACCGTGAGCTAAAATCTTCCGTTAGTTAACTAATGAATATAAGTGGCTTCGTTACAACAAAAACACGATTTTCATCCATGATTTACTGACTGTTGGAAGATTTAGTTTCTTTAAAGAACGGAATAGCTCTGTGAGATGGTTTAGGTAACCGGAAAGACGTGAACGCTAGATTATTGTATTGTTATGGAAGCACGCGGGGAAACGACGTCCGGACCGCGATCATTAATTAATAGAGAAATTCTTGAAAACATAATGGATTCGATATGAACTGGACGAAAGCTATAAAAATGAAAAAAAATATCTTAGATATGACAATAGACAATTTTATGAGCTCATTAATTTGTGCATGAGTACTTACTGTTCAAGGTACAACCTACATTGCCTTCTACATAACCGAACAATTACAATACAGTCTCAAACAGAACTTTGGTTTAATTCATTTTTCTTGATCTTTAGATTATTGCAGTCTGCTTAATATCTTAAGACATTCCGAAAAATGAATACTTCATAGTGAAATCATACCTTATTTGGCGGCATTTTGTCCAAGGTTATGGTTGTTTTTCTGATGTTGTTTTACATCTAACCCCCTTGAATTATTAATTTTGTATTTACATTGTGTCATAGATCAAATTTATTCGTTCAGTGTATGTTCACTTGTTTTTGTTAATATGTCTTTTGATTGAGTTAAGCTATTTATATTGCTATTTTATAGTGTGTCTTTCTATGTTTTAATGTCACACTTTTGTTTCAGGTAGGGTGAAGATTGGTGCATATTAAAACGTTTAAACCCGCTGCAATTGTTTGCACCTGTCATAAGTCAGGAACCTGATGTTCAGTGGTTGTCGTTTGTTGATGTGGTTCATTAGTGTTTCTCGTTTTTTATATAGATTAGACCGTTGGTTTTCCTGTTTACACTGTTAACACTAGTAATTTTTGGGCCTCTTTATAGCTTGCTGTTCGATGTGACCCAAGGCTCCGTGTTGAAGGCCGTACTTTGACCTATAATGGTTTACTTTTACAAACTGTGACTTGGATGGAGAGTTGTCTCATTGACACTCATACCACATCTTCTTATATTTATATATATAACATGTTATATTGCTATATGGTGCCTCGTGATGACAAAGAACCCTTGTAACAAATCTCGGGGGTGGGGGTGGGGGTCTGTATATATGTTGCCTGTTTCAAAGCAAAATGTCTGCCCCCTATATCCACTTTATCCTCGTTTTCTAGTGGTAATCGTTATTCCCGCCCTTCATCCGGTCGGTCGATCCAATCCACAGAACAGACTTAAAATTGTTCTTATCCTGAATATGTGTGAAATGATGAATTTGAATTAGATTTAACTGAATATGAAAACTTTGACACAAGTTTGTTACAAAAACTGCCTTGATAAAATTAATCAACTTTGACAAATAACTCAACTGTTTCGGTATAGTTATCTTATATAAACGGAAGTAACTCTAGACATTGGTAAGTGAAAGCATATGTTCACCACATTTTGAGTCAGCGTCACATCTTAAACATAGAAACAGGAAGTGTCAAATATATTTCAACCGCTTTGATGGTCTCGTGGTTGCGTACTCACCTCTAGTGTGGGTAGTCGAGGGTTCGCTCCCAGCTAAATATTTACAAAGTGGTATTTGCTGATTCTCCTCTAAAAACGTGGCATTTAGTAGTAAGAACAAAAACGAGTAGGTCCGGAGTCAGAATACTGTGTCCGGGTAGGTGACCTAGCTGTCTCTCTGCAGAGGCTTTGGGTCTAAGCGTGTTGGTCTAGTACTAAGCAGTACTCACATTGATATCACACTTATATGAATATCCTTAATTTGCGACTGGACGTTAAACATCCATGCATCAACCATCATGATGATGATCATCATCATCATTATCAAATATATTCCAAGAGAACATACTCTTAGATTATAATCTGATAAAAGTTCCATAGTCGAAAGTGTCAACATCGATCAAAGTTTATTCTTCGTGTATACTTTTCATAGAGGTCTATTTTGAATTTTGTTTGGGATATTATTTTGAGACATTTCAACAAACACATGCAGGACACATTAAACTCTCAGGATGGATAGCATACAAACATCTCGGTGTAATATCATCTACAGCCAATCTTAGATATGGAACAGTCTCTACGTTTGGATATAAACCTACTCTCAAACTGTATAGCAAGAGTTTGACATCAATGAACATTTGTTTTTGTGCAAGAAAGAAAGTGCCTTTAAGGTGGTACCTAACACTACAGGGAGATAACTCTGTAAAAATCAACTAAACGTTTTAATTACGTTGTATTGTTAAGGAAATATTAAGCTTCTCAATGATCAAAATTAGTGTTTGTCAAACTGCTATATAACCAACGAAATTTTTCTGATAAAGTGGTTGGTTCAAATTTTTTGAAATTTTTATATTTTTGTCAAAGGGTCAAAGTAAACATTTTGTCAAAATTTTATGAAAATTAAACGAGCCAAATTAATATTAGTCAAGGTGTTGGGTACCACCTTAATCTCAAATATTTAATCATAACTATTGACATGTTTCTGTTTGGGGTTAAAATTGAAACAAACGAACATAATGCACGAGGTTTTATATGAAATATAAACTTTGCATGAGTTCGATACAATACAACTTTGAATATGCCTATTCATCATGTCTTATTTTTTTAAATATTTGCCACTAAACGTTGAACAACCAACAATCAATTATTTATCCTGTCATGAATGTTAGAATAAAAACTTCAGTCAATGATTTGCATCTTGGATAAAAACTATTACTATTATTCACGATTTTAAAATATGACTTTTGATATACAATACTGCAGAGTTAAACCGATGAGACTAAATCATGTGCACAAAAAGCTATAGATTTATATTTATCTATTATCATTATATTTTTAGTTTTTGATAAAAATCGAGAATTCACACTTTTAAACATAATGTCTTTTAGCCATGACCAGTAAATGCACAAGAAGCCAATATCTTCATTGCAGACCGTGCTTTTATAGACACTAAAGCTGTAAAAATAAGATAGCTTAAATGATATATGTTTTTTGTGTGTGTTGTATTTGTATTCTGTCTGATCACTCGGCATGTTTACATTACATACACTTCAAAATGCATCGATCTTGCAGTATTTGAAGGAGAATTTCCAAAAAATAACTGCCAAGTATAAAAAGACTCGCCCAAAAAATGCACATTATTTAGAAAAGGAGTTTGAATTACATGTAAAACAAAACAAAAAAGATTTATAAATATTTATTTGTCTCATTTTATCACAGCTGCATGCATGATAATGGACAGGGTCTGTGTTTGTGGTTTGGTCAAGAATTTCAAAATTGACGATTGACCATACAAGTATATTCGGCGTTTGAAGAAAAATCGTCGGCATTTAAATTCGAGCAAAGATCAAATGTAAAATGCTGGGCGCAAGACATTTGGGCTAAATCATAAGAGTGACCATGATATCATTCGGGCTTAATATTTTGTAGTAAAGTTTACATTTGGGCTAATTTTCTAATTTTGACCTGTACATGTAAATTATAGATTAAATTGGTCTATATCAATTCTTGATATGAAATATATAAGATACTTATTAAACAATAACTTATAAAAATACAACATACATATAGTTGAAATTCACACAATTTAAAGGAGATGAGTTTACATTTGAGATAGGCGGCATCGCAAGATTATAATTTTTAAAGGCTGTTAGCTTTAAACTCAGGACCAGAACCAATCTTAGAGAAAAATCTATTGGATGTAATTTTTATATCTTATCCTGACTGTTTTATACCTTGACGTTGTAGATACTATTAAACAACTTTGAGTGCCAGATATAGAAACTTATTTTGCTCAAAATCCCACTTCCTCTTCCGGTGGTGGGAAGGGCCAGACATTGTCGGGCAAACGGAAGGGTTTCATTAAACAGAACATGTTCATTATTAAATATAGAATATTTATATACAATTAAATTATAGATATTTAACATGCAATTAGCCCAAATGTCAACTTTATAATTATCGTAGCATATTTTTAGCCCAAATGTTACATCAATTATCACAAATGTGCATCTTCCAAAAAGCCAGCCTTTAACTCCTTAAATGAAGAAAAGGCATCCAAAGTAAGACCGGAAACTCTTGATCCACAGTGAAGACTTTTCTACTTACAATTTGATGCCGGTCTCCATTAAATACAATTATCTTACATTTTAAGTTGGGTATTCAATAAAGCGCTTTTGAAAGCAACCTTGACCCTTAACATTTTATATAATTGAAATGAACCCGGACTCAGCATTTGGACCACATAACAAAAGAATTTCGAGTGCAGGTCGAAACTAAAAACCATAAATTAAAATGAACTCCGAAATGCCGATACCAAAACACAGAACCTGTCCGTTAGTTTTTGTCTAATTTATATTTTATATTCCGTACTGAGATTTAATTTCTTGTTCCCTTTGGCCTTCTCTTATCTTTTTTGGTTGACGAATCATGTAAAAGTTTCCTATTTGAACCTTTGAGTGCATTTCCATCATCCATTCGCTATATTTTGTTCTGTTTAATGAAAATCTGGAGTGCGGACAAAATGTCAGTAGTCCTCTTACGAGTTGTTTTAGCTCAAATGTAAGTGACAAGACACGCGTTTCTGGGAACTCTATTTCTTTGGACGCACGGTTCAAAAACTCAGATTTAATTAAACCTAATGGATACCTTCCTGTGCACATTAAATATAGAATGCACCCTGAAGACCATACATCTGACACTTTGGGGTCGTAGGGATGATCCATCAGTATTTCTGGAGCTTGAAATCCAGTAGATCCACAATTGTCAGTTCTCAGTGGGTCTCCAGAAAAATAAAAAACAGCATGGCCAAAGTCTGATATCTTCAAAGAATTCCGGGAAGTTACTAGAATATTTTCTGTGCACAAATCTCTGTGTGCGATTCCTTGGAGATGCAAATATTCGATACCTGAAAATATCTGATTGAAATACTTGTGTGAAACGGGTTCAGTCAAAAATCTTGCATCATGAACTTTTAGAAGTTGTTCTAGAGTACCATTTTCACAAAATTCTAAGACAATACCATACCGACCTTCGTAGCAAATATTGTTTAACCAAGACAAAATATGTGGATGGTGCAACTGTCTAAGATGGTTTAATTCAAATGTCATATCGGTTTTCCAAGAGTAACGTGATCGGCTCCGGGACTTTGCTGTGTTAAGCTTCAATGCAACAGGACAAAATTCGCTCTCCTCAAAGTTTCGTTTTTTGTGCAGATCTTGTGCCAAAATTATCGTTCCAGACCTACCCTTTGCAATCACTTGTAACGGTCGGTATCCCAAAAGTTCTAGGTCCGGTATCATGGCATCATAATGAATATTTCCAGTTTTAATCTGCCTATTCGGATATTTACTGAGAGGAATTGGATATTTGTATTCCCATTCATCGCCAAGATCACACTTTTGTCTAAAGAAAACTAGATTGTCCTTGTCATCGGGTTTGCCACTACTTGATGCTGCAACCGATACAAAATGGTGCCCTGTCACGACATCATTGAAATCTCCACTTGCCGAGCCAGATGGTAGATTATGAAAAGATTTCGAAGGTGACTGTTCTTGAATCTGGCAACTATCCCCGCCTATATGAGGCTCCATTTTTCTCTTTTTCCTCTCCGGCTCCTCTGAATTCATGTCGGAAAACTTTCCATTCGTGAAATGTTTGACAGTGTGTACTTTTGCAATGCGTTGATATTCACGACGATTGTTATGCTAGTTGTATAGATATCTTTATGACGTCAACAAAGACCAAAATTTATACGGACCAGAATTTCCGTGTATTTGTACAGCATGTCTGTCGCTGTCTGTCGACGGCGTCGTAAAATACGTCGTTTGTCATTGATTCCTTGCCTTGCCTTGTCAATCTTATTTTTTTAGGGGCATATTTTTTTAAGTCAAATTATAAGAATAATACCTTTATTGTCATACAGATTGAACAAGCTTCTGACAAAATACAAATAACTAAATCATATAATGTATACATACACCAAATTTTGTAAAAGCCAGTCCATAAAGAGTCCCTTGTCCTCAATTCCATTGCCCGTTTTAAAAAGGAACTAGTCGTTGGTTCATGTCTGTCATATTTTGTTTTTCATAAATTGTTTTGTGTAAGATTAGGCCGTTAGTTTTCTCATTTGAATTGTTTCACATTTTTCGTGTCGGGGCCTTTTATATAGATATAAGAAGATGTGGTATGAGTGCCAATGAGACAACTCTCCATCCAAGTCAAAATTTATAAAAGTAAACCATTATAGGTCACAGTACGGTCTTCAACACGGAGCCTTGGCTCACACCGAACAGTAAGCTATAAAAGGCCCCAAAAAATTACTAGTGTAAAACCATTCAAACGGGAAAACCAACGGTCTAATCTATATAAAAAACGAGAAACGAGAAACACTTATGAACCACATCAATAAACGACAACTACTGAACATCAGATTCCTGACTTAGGAAAGGTGCAAACAAATGCAGCGGGTTTAAACGTTTTAATGGTACCAAACCTTCACCCTTTTTCTGAAACAATAGTGTAACATCACAACACAGAAAGACACACTATAAAATATCAACTGAAATAGCTTAACTCAATCAAAGGACATATAAACACCATTGAACATACACTGAACAAATAAATTTGACCTATGACACAATGTAAATACAAAATAAATAAACTAAGGGAAGAATAATAAAAGTAACATGTTATATCGGTAAGAAATGTTAAACAATTAAAGAAAAACAATAGCCGACTATATGGTATGGATTTTTTTCATTGTTAAAGGCCTATACGGTTGTCTATAATTTCTTACATCCACTTCATTTGGAACTCTGGTGGAAAGTTCTCTCATTGGCAATCATACCACATCTCCTTATTTTTATATAGACTGTGTACCTGTTGAAATTTGTTGGATTAAAAATGCATAGCAACATTTGCATAGGAGTCAGCATTTAGTGAACCGTATCCCAACAAGTCACTGATTGTTTCTTACATTTTGATTTCGTATATTCCAGATTATGATCGAATATTTCAAAGAATTTTTGTTACAAGTTAACGTGGTATATTTCTTTCTCTGTATTGAATAAGTTTAAGACACGCGTAGAGAAAAAGTTTAATTTGTTCACTTAGGCTTTCAATAATTTTAAAGAGACTACCACATAGATTTAAAAAAAAAATACCATCGTAATTTTACATGAAGATAGGGTTTTTAAAAAAAATTGTCTCTTTAGGAATAATATTTTTGACATAGTATACCAAGCATACGTATTTCCTGCATCTGTTGCATCTTACAGATTTCAAATGATTCCAGCCAAAAGATACGTACGAGTCCATCATGCATATTTTAGCATCATAAGTAAGTACATGTATAGTTGTAGCTCTTTTGGCTTAATAATAGAATGCTAGAATGCCATTTCTTCTAAGATCAGACCCATATTCGATAAAAGTATCAGATAATCTGATTCTTATTTAGGCTAAATGACTTTTCTACTTTTGTTTTTTTTTGTTTTTTTTTTATTTTAAATGCCATGTATACAGGGATTTTTGTTATCGCTCTGTGTGAATTTATTTTTATTCAGTCATTTTTTGGGGGAAGGGGAGGGAATTTTTGATGGTCGAAAAGGAAAGGGGTGCAAATGTGAAATTGGTTAGGATTTTGAGAAGCAACTCAATAATCTACAACAGTGTTTGCCAGGAATCCACATCTGCAAAGTACTGCAAGAAAAAACATACAAAAAACTATTTTTAACATGCTATCGTTTATTCAATAATGAATATATTATCTGATTCTGCTCTAGATCATAAAGGACAGCCGAACTTTAGTAACTGGAGTTGCAAAAATATACAAATGAGAAGAATAAAATTGTGTCCGATGCCGCATATTTTTGTTTACAATAAATGCATTCATAAACTAAATATTATTTTTACATGTATTATTGGGTGTGAAGATCTATATCACACCGCATCATATATCTGTTAATACGCTTTGTGTCTGCATGTTCCTTAATTAGTTAACGAGGTAATGTGCGACCGGATGACAATAACCGCCATATTTATGAGCTGATCGGATCGTAAATTGACAATTGGAAAATGAAACCGACAACATAATGATGTAATACTGTTCATTAAAGATCTCATGACCTTTTCATCACCTATTTGTTCGGAACGTTAAAAGTGTGAGGCCTATCAGGCAATGATAATATAATGAAAACATTTACAGTTAGAACCATTAAACATCTACAACGGCGAATGCATGTTCAACAAAAAATAGGCGGAAGATACCAAGTGGACAAAACTCATACGTCGAAAACAAAAAAATGACAACGTCATGGTAAAAAAGAAAAACGACTAAAAAGACGAACTAGTCTATATTTAAAAGACTCAATATTTATAGCAAAATTTTAGAAATCGAACTACTGTAACGAATAAAGATATTATCTTATTGAAACAACTTATTTCGCAAAAAAAAGTTAAAAAGATACCAAGGCGACAGTCAAAAACCATAAACCAAAGAAGAAAAAGACGAAAAGACAAACTAAAGCCCAAAACAAAGCATTACACGGAAACCAAAAGATTGAACTACACGAATCCAACCGAAAACAGGTTCAATAAAAAACAACATATACTTCATTATGAACTGACGCAAACACTATATTCTTATAGTTTACGTGAATTTTAGTTAAAACAAGATTTAAATCAGTTTTCAAATTCGAAAACAATGACCCGAAAATTATCGAAACGAATACAAATGCATCAGGGTTGGATGTTGACCCATTTAGATTTCCCGATATCAATACTGCATGCCGTAACAAAAAACGTTTTACGCTTACAAAGTGAGAACAAGCATTTGGCAAAAAAACAAATGATTAGAATTTCGTCAAAATATACATGAAAAACTAGATTGTGTAACACGAACTCGACCATAAATTGGGGAACTTATGTCCCCCAAGAGGATATGCAGCTCTTGCTCCACTTGCGACACTCGTCATGTAACAAATATGAAAAGTCCGTGTATCAAACTACGCTTGATATATTATTTCTATACGAAAAGGTGACAATTTCCCTTTTAAAAATTTGGGTACAAACAGATATCACGTATATGATTTTTATATATTGAACTCAAGAAAAATAAATTTTATAGTTGTATTAAAACCCGAGAAATGCTGATTTAATTAGATATATTATTTTATTAGTTTTGCGTGGTTCTCTTCCATATGTTCTGTTCAGCATATATCAAGAGAGCTTCACAGTACAAGATTTAAGGATTCTTTATCTTTTTTTATTACCACCGGTGGGTGTGGTTTAGTCAAGTTTTGAATGATTTACACGTGAGATCAAAAGACAAACGAGTCGTGATGAACAATTCATAATTCTTTTATTTCACTTCAGTATAGAGAAGACTATAGTTTTATGTTCCCAATGGAATAGCTTTTATTTGAATCAGCTGTAGGAAGTTGGTTCACGCAACGTGTTTGTATGGTAAATTGTAAACCCGAAAACGGATACAAATTTAACGACTTTTAAAATTGAGTGAATAGCTCGACATGGGATATTTCTTATCCCTGGGCATATTTTCCATATTTATAAAAAAAACTTGGAATACAAGACCTTCAACATGAAATGTTCGAAACATTAACTCCTCGACCCGGATGTTCCACGGCAATTTTGCGACACTAATTATCACCCTTTCTTGTGCAGCTGAGCCTCGTAATGAAAATGAGAAGCTGTCTCGTGTGAGCGGATGATTGGGACTTAGGGAATCTCTTAACATCGATAAATCTACACTAAGACAAGCACAAAATAGTTCCCAGAGGCAAAATGAAAAAGAAATAAACATCTTAAATATCAATTGAAATTGGAGATAAACAGATAAAATTGTCAAGTGATTTGTTCAGTTTGTTTCAAAGACAATGGCTTTGATAACATAGAACCAAATAAACTGACGCCTAACATGCAAGATAAAAATGCATTTTTTAACAGGAACAATTGGAAGTGACCGAGAATTCCACAACTTATTAAGTGCAAGCTGAAAATAATGTAGGATACGTCCTGTTTGCCATAGTGATTTGAAATTCGGTCGCCTTCCAGTGAAAGGATTAAAATGCATGTCTTGTTTATGCGTTTCAATCCTTTTAGTATCAAATTTTGACTGAATGGTATTTGACGGCGTAAATTGATCATATTTCTATTCTTATGTGACTGTTGATATCAACATTAAATTAATAGTTTTAAACATTTGGGTATGTTTCATTAAATTAAAAGAAACGACCGAAGAGTGGTGTGGTTTTGGTTTTTTTTTCTTGTTTTAAGAGTTGGGTTTTATGAGCAAATATCTAGAATTGCTCCCACCTTTGTGAGTTTGGTTGTAACATAGCGCGCTCTTGTGTTCCACTGCCTTTTCTCCCGTTACTATGCTGACTCCAAAAATACAAGTTGTAAAAATTTTCATAAACCCACTAGGAACATTATATCTTAATACAGACCCCTTTTTGGAAAAAATAACATATGGCATTTTAGTTTCACGCGGACTTTACTCCGAGAACCATCCATGCAAGTCCTTCATATTTACGGGCTTAAACGCTTCTGCATATATGGCAGTCAGCAGGGTTTAAGAACATTTGTTGTTCGACCTGTTAGCCAAATACGTTTTGTTAAAATATACTTTTGCACTTTTTTCGTCTTTTGGAAAATGTTGTTTGTGCTGTTTTTAGACCCATC